CCGTTACTAGGTTAAAATCAAAAGTTCCCAACACTTTGATGGCGGAAAGGCACATCATCAGTTCATCCCATTTATGAAACAAAAAAATTTGCATTCTTAGATAAGCCATTCAAAAATGGAAGAAACAACAGAGTAAAAAGATCAGCAGAAACTGAATTGAAGAATCTCAATCAACATGGAAATAAACCAATAACTCGGAAGCAAATGGGGGGGAAGTCCCTAATCCAAATGCAGATCTTCATAAATTTTCAAGATAAAGAAATTACCTCTGGTGGTGCCGCACAAAGCATATAGAAACAATGATAGTTTCTTTCAGGGTCAGACACCTGGCACACACGAGATCTTTCCAAAAGATATGTTCTGATGGCAGCACCTGAGATTCAAGAGTGGCACTATACACATCACACTCCACTAGAATTTTGATTTATGTAGTCCAACCATGGAGTGAAAAGCAGCATAAGAAACGTTAGTCCAAACATGGATTGAAAAGTAGCTTGAGGAACGTGTATTCAATGGATGCCCATAATCGAGAAAGCAGATATTGGGAGTGGCGAGTGAAGGGTTTAGAGAAATCAAATGGGGAAGAGACCCCTGTCGATCAAAATCGTTCGATTTCTCCCCCGATCGAAATAGCTCAAACCCTTCTGCAACTTTCCCTTTCCCAACGGAAAGACGGCCGGAAACCCTCTCGCTCTCAAATCACTGGCTCTATCTCTCCCGTGCGGCAACGGAATTGAAATGGCTATATCGCATTCGCATTTTATTCAAAATCTCTCTCTCTCTCTCAAGTAAACCAATGCAGGTGATTGCAGCTCCGCGGAGATTGCATGGGCAATTGGAGTCGGGTGTACACACACACACACACACACACACACATATATATATAGAAAATAACTAATGCATTTTGTTGTAATGATTAGAGCTGACAAATCGGTCGGTCAGGTGGGGTTCGGTCATTTAAAGTTTGGGTTACTTTGGGTTCGGGTTAATTCGGGTTTGGATTGAGAACTATATGTTAATGACCCAGTGTCATCGAGATCGGGTCGACCCAACGGGTTATGACTTTGGTATTTTAAATTTTTAAATTCACATTAACATTTACATTTTTTATTAAATAAATTTAAAATATAAAAAAAAAATTAATCTACAAAATTATTTTATTTAAAACTCTAAAGTAGTTTTTAGATATATAAATCAATATAAGGAATTTAAAAATGCTTAAATTTTGGAAAAAAGTAAGATAATTATGCAATATCATTAAAATTTTGTTTGAAAATATAAATTAGGAAGTTTCTAGGATGCCCAAGCAAATAAGAGGGTATGCATGCCCCTCCATTAAATTGATGCCATGTGGACATACATATGACCATGTCATTAAAATTGTTAACTACTCCGTAGATTCCGTTAACTTGTTACCTTCGTCTACTACATTTTTTTATTCTATTTTTCATTAAAAGCATGGTTAATTAAAAAATTAGTCTAACTTTGGAAAAAATAAAAAAAATAAAAAATGAGAAAAAATAACTAAAACATATATACAAAAGAGAAAAAAAATACGTAGTACTAATTAATAGAAATTAACCTGAAACTGGTAAGAAATGAAATAAAAACAAATGGAGTGGTGGATTTTCACATTTTACACAGTATACAGAGCATTAATGTACTATTTCTTAATTATTTTTGGGAAAAATCGTCTATAATTATCCTAACTTTACATGTTCTTTCAAAAAATAAGTAATAAATTAATACTCTGTCATGCGTAAAATGTGAGACCGCTCTACTTGTTATATTTTTTATTTTATTTCTTTTCAATTTTATGTTTCTTATAAGATAAGAATAATACTTAAAAAAGGAAAAAGAAGTTGACGTAGAAATTATTTTAAAAATTTAAAGAAAAATTTAAAAACAAATTAAAAACAAAAATCTAACAAAATAATTCCAACTTCATTTTGTTGCGCAAAATAGGCCGTACCATTAACCCAGAATTAACAACTTAACAACAATTTAAAATTCGCAAATTTCAGTAAAGTTGAAATTATTATGCATTACAGTGAAAGGTAGAACTATTTTTGAAAGACGAAATAAAGTTGAGATTATTTTGAATAAATTTTTCTAATAAAAATATTTTCTATATGATTTGATTGCATCTGATACTCCCTCCGTCTCGGAGTATTCGTCCAGTTTTGACTTTTGAAACTGTTCATCTAAGCACTTTGACTGATCAAATTCTCTCAATGTGTAAGCCTAAATATAGTCATGTGTGATGTTATTTGATTTGTCTTAACATATAGATTATTAATATATAATTTACTCGTATATAATTTTTTAATATACAAATTACAAGATAAAATGGATTAAAGAAATGTATTGAATGATGTGTAAAAATTAAAGTGGACAAATACTCTGGGACGGAGGTAGTATTAAATAATTTAATTCTAATAAAAATTAGTAATAAATAACAAAAAATGAATTAAACAGAAAGCAACCAATGAAAAAAAATGGAGTGATTAACATCTTTTTTGAAAGCATTAGACTGATCGAGTAATAATAAAGTTTGGTTACGGAAGATAACGAAAGAACTAACGCTAACAAGAGGCACAAGACAAGGCCTTACCATACTACTCCGTACAATTTTTTAAATTTAAAATGAAGTGAAACCTTTTAATTAATCAATCCACATGGCACTAATTTAATAGAGGGGCATGCATGCCCTTTCATTTACTTGGGCATCGGAGAAATGCCCTATAAATTTATACAATAAAAACAAGTAAAAAAGTGTATAATTTTGAAAAAATCTTACTTTAGCGGGTCGATCATGTCGGGTTCGGGTTCGGTCGGGCATAAGTCTCAATAGATATGCAACAAATTGTATAGAACATGAAATGAGTATGGTCCCAATTCTTAATCATGACTCCGAACCCCCTTTGTATCTAGGAGAAACCCCTCTTTTTTTTGACAACTAGACTTTGATATTGGGGCAGGGGGCATAATAATAGCAAGTGGACCCACTTATATACTTTCCCTTTTCTCATGGATTATCATCATAAAGTGAACTACCCCATTTTTATCAAAGTTGGATCATTATTACGAAGTATGAACATGGCCCTTTTTTGAAAATGGAGTAATAATATTGAGTTGTCACCTCTAAAATTCATTGGTGAAACAGTCTTCTCTTGAGTGCGGAGCAATAATAATAAGAAGAGGTAGTGCCACTTGCCTGGAAAATACAACGTTGACCCATAGTCTGTTTCCCTACCACGCAAGATGTCTGTTTGTTTGCCGGCCCGAACTTGGTAACAGAAACTGGGAAAACGTACCCAGGGGGTTTTTGTCCATTAGCATATTGGTTCTGCTAACGGTGATCCGGCGGTGGGTCGTCGTTTGAAGGGAGCACCGGGGAGTGGCTGTGTGCGACTTCAAGAATCCCAATTCTTGCGCTAGATTCGGGCCGCCGCTGCAAGGGATATGTGACCGCCATCAGGTGTCGCCGCCTGTTATCACAGGTTGGGAGGAACTCCACTTCGAATTCCAATTGTGTTTCTCCTGCCGGATTGGATTGCCATCGACCTCAGAATTCCGGCCCGAGAGACCCAAAGCATCCTCCACCAGGTCCCTGCATGCCATCACCTCTAGGTCTTCAATCCAAACAAGGATCTGCCCAGCTCCATTCTCGGTCGGTGGTTCGAAGCTTCCAGTGGCCATCCTCTATTCATCCAGTTTAGTGACGATTGAGCCGCTCTAAGAATCATCAATTTTCAAGTGGATCGATTCACAAGCCTTCAACAAATAAAATTGTTTATTATGCGAATCTCAACTTTCGCACAAGAGATCTGAGGTTTGCTCTGGTCACTGGTTTTAACCAAGCAAATCGGCTATTGACCGTTCTAGAAAATGGGGGTGAGCTTCCGAGGCGAGATCTACCAAGGGAAATCCACCACGTTAGTGAATCCCCCACTCTACTGTACATAGAAAAAACTGAAGTTCTTTCCCCAGCTTGCACGTGAATAAGCACCACCCGGCGGCGGCGGATGAGCACGCTCAGCTCCGCTGGAGGAGACGGTGCAAAATAAAAAGATTCAAGCTCCAACTGCATTAAAAGAGCGTCCGGGGCAGCAACTCCAAGTTCCAATCGGAAAGGAGGGAGCACGCGCTGGGGTCTTCACGGCGACTTCTCATCAGCGACAGGGACTGCAGGTCGTGCCACTGGTTGCTGGTCCTGGAAACCCGACGGATTCGTGGACCGCAGGCACTGCCTCGCCCTTGACCACCGTCAAACCTGGAACAGCTGGACCGCCGCTAGAGCTTCGCCGGGTCGGGTCGAATTTAGCTCGGGTCGCGTCTCTTCCAGCTCCGTCTGAGTCCGTTGCTGCTAGCCCTGGTTGGGCTGCCCGATCTACAGCTATTGCCGGAGAGTTGGTGGAGACGGCAGTCATGGGTTTGCCGCCAGCCGCGGCTAGGAGATAAATTGCAGCAGCCAGAGGATAAATCCTCAACTAAGAAAAGGAATGGACCACATTTGTTTGGATTTTCCAAACAAATCCTACAGACGCACTAGATAATCCGGGGTTCTCGTCATCAACCAGGTCACGCAGCCGACGCCCAAAGACAGCAGCTGCAGTTCGCTGTCCAATTGCGTATGTATTGAAGGACGGTTGATTGTTATTCAACATTGGCAGGTCTAGGAAGATGGAGATTCACCAATTATCAACGGTGTACTCCTCTCCGTTTTTGGATCTGCTATCTGCTACTTCTAGCGGCACTTGGTTCGCTTTTCAGGAACGTCACTGGTCCGGATCTGGTTGCAGCACTCAGGATCTGAGAGCAATACTGCATTCGGCGCCGATGACCTCGTCCGACGAACTGAGAGCAACGCTGTACTTGGTGGCGAGAGAATGGAGTCGCCGTTGCAGTCACCCGCACCCAACGGGGGCAACTAGCGACCACCTTTTACAGTGGATCAAGGAAATCCACAGTTGCTTCCGGATTAGGAAAAATGATGAATCCTCCAAAAGTAATGACGAATATGGAGGATGAAAAATCAAAGGAAAAATTGGAGATAGTTGTTGGGTTATGGAACCCAAGAGTAGAGAAGAAGGAGAAATGTGTGAAGAAGATGATGAATAATATTGTATGGTGTAGCCTCTTTTTTCCCCCTCCCCTCTCCTCTTTCTAAGAAGAGAAGTATAAATAAGGAGAGTTAGAGTTAGGATTTCGAACTAATGAGTCGGCTCAACAGACTGAGCCGCCCTTAAATAAATATCATGGGATGCCCTAAGTTTGGCCAAAGAAAGAAAGGAAAAAGGGAAATAACAACAAACAAAAGGTTTTGGTTTACACACACTTATTTTCTGCCATAGGCTAAAAATAAGTGTAAGAAAACATTATTTTGAAAGTAATTAAATCACAAGAAACTTTGGATATTTAGGGAAGGAATTAGGGGGGGTGGGGGCTGTTGGTTCGCCCTAGGTGGGGTGTAGGACAGCCCTAGTGTTGGTTTGGGCTTTATGGAAGGGCGAAGGAGTGGATTCAACCATAATAACGTCACCACACTTTGGACTTATTCCCCTCATCCGTCTTTCCTTTTGCGGGCTAAGGAATATCTCCGTTGATGTTCCCGAAAATCTAACATCCTCTTAAACAATAAAAATTTAAATTAGGCCTAATAAGATGGGTTCGCTTTGATTTTTGTTGGGGGCATATATACATAAAAATTATTAATAAAGAACAAGTTTCTCTACCATACAATTTTAGATTTGGATAAATAAATTAAAGAGTGAATAAGAAGGGGTACAAAAATTAACCCTCTCATTACTCAATTGAATGATGTGATAATGAATCTTCTCCAAAAAGGTGAAATCGCTCACCCCCGACCCGACGGGATTGTGAGAGGAGGTAAATCTCGGTGACCCAAACACAATACTTAGCTAGACCATATCCTAGTGCACAGCAGAGACTCCCCACATTTTTCAGAGGTGGTCACACCACAACGGCCGCTGTCAGGTTTCGATCCTTGTCATTCTCTAAACTTCACAAGTTCTTTCACTTGGCTACCCGTGTTGGGTATGTGATAACTAATCTTGAATATACTTGACGGAGATATTTTTTTAAGTATAAATAGCACCCAGGTAATAGTCGAATAAGCTACTGAGAATTAGAAGCAGAAACCATGGCGGACGAAACACTGGCAGCTCTTAGATCATTGATGGCCTCTCACTCTCCTCCACTCCACGCCTTGATTGTTCCTTCTCAAGACTATCATCAGGTTACTCAACTTCGCTCTTATCGATACAATCTGGCACTCTATCGTGAAACTGTTTGTAAACGGCGATAATCTTCTTCCGGGAAACGTATATACATATCTGGTGATTAATGCGTATTTATATTAATTTATATCTTTTACATGTTCGTAACTCAGAGCGAGTATGTATCAGCTCGGGACAAAAGGCGTGAGTTTGTTTCTGGATTCACGGGAAGCGCTGGTTAGTTTTTTTCTCAGTCGTTTGCTTCACTGATTCTTGCCTTCCTTTGAGGCTGCATTGAGCCTTGAATTTGAGTACCTTGCAGAAACTTCATTTCAGAGAGATGTTTTAATGATATACTACCTCCATCCCGAATTATTCTTCAATTTTGACTTTTCCAAGTCAAATTGCACCAAATTTGGTCATCAATCGAATAAAGATTGTATTATGTATTATTAAAAAAATAATTTTATTACTTCTATCTTGTGGAAATATTTAAAAATTTATTTCTGTGTAAGGAGTTTCTATATTTTTGCAGGTTTGGCACTTATAACAATGAATGAAGCACTTCTATGGACGGATGGAAGGTATTTTTTGCAGGCACTTCAACAACTAAATGATCAATGGACGCTCATGCGAATGGGAGAAGATCCAAGTGTTGATACATGGATGGCAAATGTGAGTTTTTTTTGCTTTCTGAACTTTTTTGTCTTCGTATTTACAATGTTTTATCTTTGGCCACACTTTGGACTAAATCAAAATGACACATTAAGAACCCTTTGCTTCTTTGTTTTTATGAAGTTTTGGATAAATGCATCAATGCATCTAGGGTTTGACAAAAACAACCTCTATATTTTACAAGGGTAAGAGTGCATTCATCTTGACCAGTTGACCCCCTAGGCCCCAATGAAGTCGGGATTATATTGGATTGTTGTTGTATACTCAGTGCATGTTCAGTGGTCCACTTATTTAGCTTATGAGCTCATCAACCTTATTACCTTAACAATGTACAACCATTGTTTTTATGAAACACTAACATTTTTCTTCATTTTTGACTAATGCTATAATAATACAAACTAGCCACATAGTTACATCTTGGTTGAAATGATTGAAAGGGAGTAAAACAATTTCTTTCACCATCATTTAGTTACTACAATGCCTACAATCATTTAGATATTAGCTATAAAAAAAATACTTGCACCTTCCCAAAAAATGAGTCATGCTTATGAGAGTAATTTTTTTCCTTAAAAAGTCCATTTTCATCAAACAATTTTTGTATTTAATTTGCCAAAAGTTACCAAACATGAATAACAAACAAATTACAGATGATCTCTTGCACTTGTCTACATAAGTATATTAGCTATTTGTAATATGCTTTTATCAGGTGTTCTAGTACAAGAAAATTAAATTTTCACAATTCTTGTGTGAAGGACCAAATTTCCCCCTCAAATGATAATTGAGCGACTATTTACAAAATGGATAAAAGAGTCCACATTATGTAATATCAAACATTCAAAGGATGAAAAAGGATTTTTTGTGTTGTTGAAGTATATCGCAGTTGCAGGTAGGGGTGTAAACGAACCGAATCGAAGCGAATGCCGATATATTTGAATTTGTATTTGTTTAATTTTTTCGAATACGAATTCGAATCCAAATATGAGACGAATTCAAAATAAGATTTGAATATGTATTTGATTAATACTCGAATAGTTATCGAATCATAAACGAATACTTGAATAATCATACTATGTAATTTATATGATGGACCAACATCGATTTGTACTTTAACTTACGATACTCTATATACTATACTATATTCCGTATCTAAAAACATTAATACATTTGCATCCTACACAAATTATATTTTATAAAATATAACTATTAAAAATCATATGCTTTAGATTTTTCGTGTTACGTTAATTTATTGAATTCTTAGTACTTTAAATACATTTTATATTATATTACTTTGCTTGACTTTTGATGTTGAAAACATGGTATGTGTATATATACATATATTCGAATATTCGAATATCATCCAAATCGAATATATCCCTATTTGCATTTGTATTTGTTTAATATTCGAATAAAAAATAATATTTGAATTTGAATTTGTATTTGAATAACTCGAATTCGAATCCTTATATTCGAATACGAATCACGAATCAAATTTAAAATATTTGATTTGTTTACATCCCTAGTTGCAGGCCTTGTTTGGAAATTAGTTGTTAGTTGTTGGCTCTTTTTGTTGGTTGGTTTGAATGACCGATTGAGTTAGCTGTTTTGACCGGCTAATTGTGCTAGTTTAATCTATTTTTTATCAATTTCTAGTATCAATTCTGTTTAAACATGGTCAAAGTTTGTCAATTTTTACTGCAAAAATTCATAACTAGTCAAACACTCTGGGACGGAGGCAGTAGCTGTTTGTAGATAAAATTACATTTTAGGACATGTCTTCACGTGTGTTAATTAGTTTTAATTATACTATGTAGTTAATTTAATTTTTTTAATTTTTATAAAATACACATACAACATAAGCTAATCAGCAAATGAATTAAAATATTTCCTTCGTTCCAAAAATCTCTTTACATATAATTTCATTGTCAATTTTAATTGTTTTTTAAAAACTATTTCCATTGATCATTTTACAAAATGGTAACCATGTCACCTTTTATTTTAGACACTTTTTGGTATACTATGTAGTTTTTAAGTACTTCTGTTTATTTGTATTTTCAATGATCAACAACAAAAACAACATTACTCCAATGCCTTAAAGGCTCTCGCGCATTGCAGGGTGAGGGTTGGATGTACACAACCTGACCTCTATTTGAAAATATAGAGATATAGAGCGATTGTTTCTAGATGACCCATGATGAGCATCAAAAGTTGCACTGACTAACTTCTACTTCACTATTGAAAGAAGTGCAGATAGTTTAAAGAGCTATTTTACCAAAAATAGTTAATCTTTGTTTTGATTGGTCATTGATAAAAGGAAAAATTCATACCAATATATTACTTTCAGATACTCGTTTGCACGCGAATACTCCAAGTTTTACTTTGCTACTCTAGTGTGGTTGAAACGGCTTTGGGCTTTATTTCAAGGAATTATTTTGGGTAATATGACTTATGAAATAATGGGTTGATATCACATTTTAAGTAATAAAATTAAATTGCATGTCATTTGAACTCTTTTGAATACCTTAATAAAGGAACAATAATTGAACTCGGTGAAATCGCCCATCTTTCTTAGTAAGTTATTCAAAAAAACCCAAATCATGTCCAATTAATTATATTACTTTAGATGTGTTGCCAACTCATTATTTCAAATGTCATGTTAGCCAAAATGATTCCACATAATAAAGCCTGAAGTTGACTCTACTTGGTAGGAGCGGTTATGTAAAATTTTAATGATATCTCAGAGTATTAACGTGCAAAAGAAAATTTAAGAGTAATATTGTATAATCGGCCAAATCTAGTAATTACTAGTGTGAATTTTTTCTTGGTAAATTAAAATATTCTTGCTTCCTATTGTTTTATAGAACATTTGAAGTAGTTTTAAAATATGTAAATCTTATGTATTTTTCATTTCTAGACCAATTTTGATATAAAATGAACATGAGGTTTTTCCTTGTATTTCCCTCCATGGCTCTATGTCATTGATTTCGGGACGGAGGGAGTATATAAATAGATTTATAGTTATATAAATCTAAATTCAATTAAAAATAATTTAAGTCATACATCTAATCAATCAAAAATAAATCATGATTACAAGAGTATGAAAAGAAAAACAAAAAAGATGGGAATAGATATATGGAGCATTAGAATTGTTATACCACTAGATGGCTCCACTAAAACCCCAACCTCTCCCAAAATGTCCAAAAGCCTTTAATCTTCAATTGATAATAAAAATAAAATCCTTTCCCTCTTTTTAATCCTTGGACCAAAATGAGGATAAAAAAGACAAACCTTGTGTGTTGTTTTCTACTTCTTTTGTTCCTTTCATTAAATAAGACCTTCCCCATATTTTCCTACACCTTTCCCACGAATTCCCCACCTTTTTAATCCAAAAATCAGGCCACATCATGTTTGAACCAAGACAAAACACAAATCACACAATAATAGAAAATCAGGAAAAGTATTCCTTGATTGAATAATGCTGATTTTGTCTTGTTGTTTAAATGAAGTCAAAAACATATCCCCATCATATTCCTCCCTTAAATGGACGAAAATACACCCCAAATATCCATAAACACAACCCCATTTACCAAGATTAAGGCTAAAAACATCAAGGGGACAAATCCATTGATTGAATAATGTAAACTTTGTCTTGTTGTCCTTAATTGTCAAGCCTCCCACATTCCTTGATCCCACCTCCAAATGGACGAAATTCCCATAATAATATATTAATAATGAGTCATTCTCCATTCAAAATCAAGGCGAAGATATATCCCACACAATGGCCAAAGTCAGAAGAAGATAATTCATTGATTGAATAGTAAAAGTTGTCCTTTTGTGCTTTAAAAGTCAAGACTTCTTCACTTAACATCTTTGTCTTGTTTCTTAAGACATATGGACGAAATTTCCATCCCAAATACACCAAAGAAGATCCCCCATGTGCTGATCAAACATTCAAAAGAAGAAGTCCTTGAATGAATAGTGCAGATTGTCAATTTTGTGCCTCAAAAGTCAAGATCTCTTTACCTAAAGTCCTTGACTTGTTTTGTATCACATATGCACGAAATTTCAACCTAAAAACAAAAGGATTATTTGTCTTAAAAAGCCAAGAGAGATCAAGAATGAAGGACTTCAAACATCAAGGCAAAAATGGGAGCATGTGGTGTGTGAAATGTGGAAGCTTCCTCCCACTTTCAACTTTGTTTTCTTGTATATATTATTAGCTAAGTGTACCCCTTTGTTTCCTCTATATATAGCTCGACCATATGGTCTTTTAAACATAACTTTTGATGAATGAAAACTTGTTTACTCTTTGATTAACTTCTTAAAATAGTGTGATGCTATTTTAGCTCAAATTTCCTAATGAAATATCTCTAAAGTTGTCTACTTTTGAGTGTGTGTTAAGAGTCTGATTTTGTACGTTAGTAGTGATTATTAATGTGTGGGAGAAGATAAAAGCCCCAAGTAAAGATAAGAGTGTGTCATATCTCTTAACACCAACTTGGTTTATACCTTCACCTTTTGTTCTTCCATTTTCGTCCCTCCCATGTTCACCTCTTAAACCTCCTCTTTTCAATCATAAAAATACCAAAAAGAACTCCTACAACACATCCCACAATTTCGCCCGACTACTTCCCTTCCATTTTCTCCGTAAATTCGTCATCAAATTGCTTACTTGATAAGACCCCTGGTTCGGGTATAACAATTGGTATCAAAGCTATCTTCGAAGACTTCCTTAACTCTTGACGATCACCTTGAGGACCGGCTTCGCAAACGTTGCCCGAAAGAAGGTTGCTGAATTTTTTTCCAGAAACTTTCAGCTCCAAAGAATTGAGCACGGAGGAAGCTACACAACAGATTTTGAGGTGAAACTTTCTAGTTTGAAAGTTTGGCCTTTTCGCTATGCCCGACCGCTGATTTCACTCAATTCCGAGTTGTTAGTGATATACGCCCTCCCGAAGTTGATAACACAGTCCTGGACGAATTCTATCTACCTTGCTGAATTTTTACTAAAGAGGTAGCAAACATTCTTTAATGGCTCTGAAATTTTGATATGCCTTTATAGACGTCAATATCTAGCTTTGAGAGTTGGAATTACCTAATTCCAATCTCCGGTTTGTGAGATATGGTCTCTAAAAGACATCTCAGAATTCTGGAAATTATCCTTGCAAATGGGGCAATATTATAATGGGCTACTCGGCGGTGTTTCATGTGTGGTGGCTGTGGTCATGGCTATTGGGAATGTTCAAATAAGTATTCTATCCCATATGAAGAATGGACCAGAGACGAAGCTCAAGTCGGATGCTTTAATGAAGCAATGAATGACCTAGTTCGGCCAGAACAACCAACTCGTGATGAGGAAGAGAAGAGATCCGATGACGTGAACGTTGTTGTGAATGTTGTCTTTAACTTTCATGTTGAGGATAAAGAAGTCAACATAGAGGAACCTATTTTAGAGGCGCTTGAGCTGCCTAATCATGTCATCGTTTTTAACGCTGATGATTATGACACTTCCATTGTTTTTGATTGTTTTGTTGAAATAGTTACGAGAGAAGAAAACTGAGATTTGTAAAATACTCAGAAGAAAATTCTTCGGAGTATTATATCTTGATCTTGGAGAAGCACCCCTATGTTGTCAATGGGATGTGTTTGAAGCAGGTTCCGTCCAAGGAAACCATATCATCCCGGAAATTATACAAGAAGGTGCCTACTGATTCCGGAGAGAACCTCATTCTTAGTGGTTCATTGAATTTTCCCTTTGATTCGGGAATTCTTATATGAACTATTGATCTTTTCACAGTGGTGCGAAAGATTGAGGACAAACTTTCTTTGAAGAAGGGGAGTATGTTATACCCCTGGATGGCTCCACTAAAACTCCAACCTCTCCCAAAATATCCAAAAGCCTTTAATCTTCATTTGATAATCAAAATAAAGTCTTTTCCCTCCTTTTAATCCTTGGACCAAAATGAGGATAAAAAAGACAAACCTTGTGTGTTTTTTTCTACTTCTTTTGTTCCTTTCATTAAATACGACCTTCCCCATATTTTCCTACACCTTTCCCACGAATTCTCCACTCTTTTTAATCCAATAATCAGACCACATCAAGTTTAAACCAAGACAAAACACAAATCACACAATAATAGAAAATCAGGAAAAGTATTCCTTGATTGAATAATGTTGATTTTGTCTTGTTGTTTAAATGGAGTCATAAACATATCCCCATCATATTCCCCCTTAAATGGCCAAAAATACACCCCAAATATCCATAAACACAACCCCATTTACCAAGAATAAGGCTAAAAACATCAAGGGGACAAATCCATTGATTGAATAGTGTAAACTTTGTCTTGTTGTCCTTAATTGTCAAGCCTCCCACATTCCTTGATCCCACCTCCTTATGGACGAAGTTCCCATAATAATATATTAATAATGAGTCATTCTCCATTCAAAATCAAGGCGAAGATATATCCCACACAATGGTCAAAGTCAGAAGAAGATAATTCATTGATTGAATAGTGAAAGTTGTCCTTTTGTGCTTTAAAGGTCAATACTTCTTCACTTAACATCTTTGTCTTGTTTCCTAAGACATATGGACAAAATTTCCATCCGAAATACACCAAAGAAGATCCCCCATGTGCTGACCAAACATTCAAAAAAGACGTCCTTGAGTGAATAGTGTAGATTGTCAATTTTGTGCCTCAAAAGTCAAGATCTCTTTACCTAAAGTCCTTGACTTGTTTTGTATCGCATATGCACGAAATTTCAACCTAAAAACACAAGGATTATTGGTCTTGAAAAGCCAAGAGAGATGAAGAATGAAGCACTTTAAACATCAAGGCAAAATTGGAGCATGTGGTGTGTGAAATGAGGAATCTTCCTCCCACTTTCAACTTTGTTTTCTTGTATGTATTATTAGCTAAGTGTACCCCCTTTGTTTCCTCTATATATAGCTCGACCATATGGTCTTGTTAACATAACTTTTGATGAATGAAAACTTGTTTACTCTTTGATTAACTTCCTTAAAATAGTGTGATGCTATTTTAGCTCAAATTTCCTAATGAAATATTTCTAAAGTTGGCTACTTTTGAGTGTGTGTTAGGAGTCTGATTTTATACATTAGTAGTGATTATTAATGTGTGAGAGAAGATAAAAGCCCCAAGTAAAGATAAGAGTGTGTCATATCTCTTAATACCAACTTGGTTTATCCCTTCACCTTTTGTTCTACCATTTTTGTCCCTCCCATGTTCTCCTCTTAAACCTCCTATTTTCAATCATAAAAATACCAAAAAGAACTCCTACAGGGTACTACAACCCATCGCACAATTTTGCCCCACTACTTCCCTTCCATTTGCTTCGTAAATCCGTCATCAAATTGTTTACTTGATAAGACCCCTGGTTCGGGTATAACAAGAATAAAAGAAAGTCCTGTAAAAAAAGGTGTGAAGAAGTCAGTAGAATCTGGAAACTGAGAACTTAGAACAAAACTAAAGGCCACAAAAACATCATGTGGAAAAGCCAATTTGAAATACTTCCCCTAGTAGCCTTTCGAGATTCCTTCGTTTGGAGCACGTAGCGACTTCTTAAAGCTTTTTTCCAAACATTTATTTTAGCTGATTGACTAGTCAAATATGCCACTGTGGTCAAAACAGCAAAATGTTGGGATTGTTGGCTGAAAAGCCATTTTCTAAACAATGCCATAGTCTTGTAGCAGAATCTTATAGTTGCACTGTTGAAGTTTTTATTGAGCTATAAAGTTATGGTCTCAAATAGCTATCATAAACTAAATCAGCCCTTAGTTGTGAGACATTTTAACATCACTGGAGTTTTGATGTACTTCTGCACTATTTATGTCTTCTAATTTTAAATTTTTCTCTCTCATCATTTTTCTTTAGCATCCAAAATTAGGCATCGTACTCAAGTCAGCTTGGTTGATCATGGAGAAATCAATTTGCGTATTTTTTCTCTCTAACTAAAATTTGGCTGCTACATGCTACTATACATTTGTAATCTATCTATGACATGTTCTTTCCCTTTCATGAGTTCTTTTTCAATATTAATGTAACATCTTACAGAGTTACACGTTTGGTGTTTCAAGGTGTATGGATTTGGTGGGGTATTGTTGTCCATATTAATATAAATTATGATATGTTTTCAGAATCTACCTAAGGAGGCAGCTATAGGAGTTGATACATGGTGTGTATCGGTGGAAACTGCACGTCAATGGGAATGTGCCTTTGCGAAGAAAAAACAAAAATTGATTCAAACAACAAGAAACTTGGTGGATGATGTTTGGAAAAGTCGACCTCCTGTAGAAGTAAACCCTATATTGATTCATTCATTGGAATTTTCTGGGCGCTCTGTTTTTGATAAGTTGAAGGATTTGAGAGGAAAGCTTATGCATGAGAAAGCTCGTGCTATCATAATCACTGGGCTGGATGAGGTAAACCTGTTCCCGATGATACTAAACCCATGCATTCATCTTACAAACAATATGATTTGTTATTTTTTAACAAATTCTTCATGACTTCTCTGCAGGTTGCCTGGCTATATAATATCCGTGGAACTGATGTTTCATATTGTCCTGTTGTTCATGCATTTGCAATAGTGACATTAGTCTCAGCTTTCCTTTATGTTGACAGCAGAAAGTTATCTTCTGAGGTTAATGTGCTGCATAATGTTATTCTTTCACTTTTCAGTTGATCCTGTCTTCTCTGGTATTTAACATTTAAACACTTTATTACAACAACGTTACCTTAGTGCCTCAAAGGCTCAGGCCTATTGCGGGGTGGGGGGGGGTGGGGGGTTGGTCGTACGCAGCCGGACCCCTATGTTTAAAAACATAGAGTGGCTGTTTCCGGATGACCCATGATGGCCGTCAAAAGTTGCATTGACCAATTGCTACTTCACTATTGAAAGAAGCATAGACGGTTCAACAATCTATTTTGCTTTATTCCATCATACCCCAGTGCCAAAAACATTGAATCTTTGTCTCCATTGGAGATGATGGAAAAACATTCTATTATATTCTGTTTATTTATTTTTTCTTAAAAGTGTGAAGTAATACGATGCAGGTGAGATCTTATATGGTGGAAAACGGGATTCTGGTACGGGAGTATGGTGAAGTTGGCAAAGATATAACCTTGCTGGCTTCTGATGAGCTCATCCATTCCACTTCAAGAAATGGAAATCAAACAAGCTCTTCATCAAGTGAAGTGACCAAGAGAAATGAGTCTTCTGGTGAGGGAAACACACTCATATGGGTCGATCCTGGCCAATGCTGTTTTGCTTTGTACTCCAAACTAAATGCTGAGGAAGTTTTTCTTCAGCAATCACCTATAGCTCTTGCTAAAGCTCTCAAGGTAGTTTTATAATTCTTTTAACGTAGAATCTGAATAGCACTCAATGCTGTTGATTGTTGGAGGTTTGGTCTTAAGTGTTAAAATTAAATCCACTTTGATCTAAAATATGAAGCAATATGATTTTGATACATGCAGACTGACATATACTGTAATAAGCTTTACTAGACTTCCAGCCAGTTTCTTCCATATCTCCTGTGCTCACCAATCGGTCCCTAAGTTTCATCATTATCTAGTTTTTTTGTTGTTCCACAAAACATATCCAGACATGATGTTTCATCATTTATTCATATGCTTGGATTATATCCATAATACAGTGTATGATTGGGGTAACTATGTTAAGTGATATGATGAGTAAGGACAATCTTGAGAGTTCAGACAATTACATACAAATTTCATATTTCACATGTTCATCTTTCCTAGTTTTTTGAAAATCTGCATTACTGTTCCCAGAATCCTGTTGAGATGGATGGATTGAAGAAAGCACATATTCGAGATGGAGCAGCTGTAGTACAATATCTTGTCTGGCTGGATAAACAGGTGTTTGCCTAATCATTACGCTGTTAATCAGGAGTAAGAACTCAGAACTAAACTAAATCATTATACAGATGCAAGAGATTTATGGGGCGTCAGGATTCTTCATAGAGGCCGAGACCTGCCAGAAGAAAAAACTGTATGTTGACTCATTTTCTTTTACTTGTGTGCATAGACTAAGCCCTACGATAAGGAACATCCCATGTTTATGGCCAAATAGCACTATTGTCAGGGCACTACGCCATGATTTGATTTTACTATTTCACGGGGCCCATGAACTATACCATTTATTATATGATTGTAGGATTTGTATCACATGGACAAAAAGTTTATTTTTGTTTCTATGAGTAAAAAGTGTTTAAATACATTTTTTATTGTAAAAAGGACTAAAATGAATAAAATGTTATTGTTCAAGGACCTCACTAATAATTCAAGTGGCAATAGAAAACCTGCTGAGGTTATCTACAAAATATTTGATTTTCCACTTTTGAACATCGACGTTTTAACATTTCTTTTTACGCTAATCGCCTAATCCATATCATTTTCTGCCTAACATGACTCCACTTGAAGTCTATTACTACAAGATTCAGACTCTCAGCACGACTGTACCAGGAGACTTGCTTCTGGAAGAGACAGACATGTCCAACGGCTCCAACCACACATAATATTCCACTTTTCCTTTTCTTATCTTCAATAGACACTACCCCACTTTATTGTGAATTTCCTCATTGTGCACTCTGTCTTTNCCACCACACATTTCTTATCCAGAATCTAAAAGTTGGATCCTAGTTAAGAAATGTGTGGTGGGGGAGAGGCGGTGTACAACTTGGGGTACAAATTGGTGTACCCCTAGCATTACTCATCCATTTTTATTATACATATATTGGTCACACTTAAATTTTTTTTAATAAAGTCTTTCTTACAAGCCAACATTCTAATACACAGAATAAAGTAGATCATATAGCAATCTTGTAAAAATTTCTCTCTAGTCTTTACATATCAAATAGTATTCCATTTGCTCCGCTGTATTACGGGATTTATGGCCAACCAATACTTATCTCGACTTTCAAGTGTCAGATCTATGTTATCTATTTTCTGTATAATAGATCCCAAATACGTGGAATAATAGTTTACCAATATCTTTTTTCTATCCATTTCCATTTCAGCATGCTTTTTATATATATTGGCATTAAACTTGCAACTCCAAGTACTTTATTTTAACTTTGGCTTATCTTAAACCGTCATGATTATAACCTTCGTCTCTATATTTCAAACTTAGCGTTTAGTTCCTACTTAGATTCATCTAGTAGTCAGGCAGTCAGCTGCATTGAATCTTGGATAGTTTTGGAAAACTCAACTCTAACGGTTCCAACTATGATTGGAGTCATTGTTGATTATTGATGTAAGCTAATTGTATAGAGAAATCTTTTGTCATACTTCCGTAAAGTCTAACATTTGTTTTAAGGTCTCAATACACATATTAGACTCTATTAATATATTTACCAGACTTCATCATATCCCACCAAAGTTCATCCCTTGGTACCTTATCATAAGCCTTCCCCATATCTGATGGGATAAATACCCCGGGTCGAGGTTGGTATATTTAAAACCTGCCATGGCACATTTCATATAGTCCGAACCATGAAAGAAGTAGCCCCCTCTATATCACAGAGTGTAAGCTTTGTCTATGCCTGAAGGAATAAATACCCCGGGTCAAGGTTGTCAAATTTAATACCTGTGCATAGAGCCCGATCTGGGAAAGAAGCAGGCCTGTTGTATCTTCATTTTCTCATTAGGTCCAACATAACTAGAGTGTGTAGTAGCCAGAGGCTTGTCCTGTGTGGGGAGTGGGGACGGCATTTAGCTCTGGTTTCAGGTGGCATGGATCTAGTTTACAGCCGTAATATACTAATATGTTTTAGATACCCAATGTAATTAGTTTGGTACTATTGTAGTATCCTAATATGATAATAGAAAGTCCCCGTGACTTGGGGAGAAAGCTAAAAACTCTACACTTAAGTTTTGGTGTTTTTATACGCATGAAATAGAACCTGCCTACCCCCTCTGGTGGGATCAATTTATTCACCAAGAACAACAATGCCAAACCCTATAGAATCCCACAAAAAGTAGGGTTGGGGGGGAGGGTAGTGTACGCAGACGTTACCCCTACTTGGGAGTAGAGAGGCTCTTTCCAAGAGACCCCCTAATCTAAAACAGAAGGACAGGCAAGCAAACAACAGTAGCACTAACGAAGCGTGAGTAGAGAGAGATGAGGGAACAAACACACATACCAAGTCAAACTGACTCAAACAACTAGACCATGAGCACACAAACTAAGGCTTAATAATTAATAACTCGCCATACAGATAAATACTTTTGCAGTGGATAGTAAAACAACCTTTCTCTCAGTTATTTGTGTGTATATTCAGGCACCCCGAAATTCTTAAGTGTTTTCACTGGTACATTGGTACCATTTGTGGGACTTAAACCGAAAAGTTCTGTGTTCCTTGCAATACCAATTAGTTAACAATTGCTGAATCAAAAGGTAGTGATGGTGGACCGACCAAATATGGCTCAAAGTTAATGTCTTATTCCTTATAGCCTTTGTGGATCTGCAAGACTTCAACTGTCTACAAAATTCTAACACAACTGCTCTGCGCCAAGAATTTGGGCATCATGGTGGTAGTTAAGATGAAACTCAAGGTGCAAAATCCAAGCATGCATCACAACGGGGCGTCTATGACACTTAGTGAAGCGTGCTCCTTCCTAGAAATATTGCTAGGGAATCACATCTTTGAGATAGCTTGAAGGGTGGGTTGTGATGAGGACAATGAAGGCAACGAGGAGGGTGTGCACATCACTGACTATAAGAACCTGACTTCACCATGGTGGAGCACTAGCAATCTGGGACAATTCCCATAGTTTGAGCCCCAACATGAGATTAACGCCTGAGACATAATAATCACAATGAGGGCATTTGCACATGTGATCGCTTGAGATATGACTTGCTCACCTGTTTAGTACCTTGCAGTATATGAAGAATGACACCTTTCATAGTGGTTTTCCTCCTTTCACCCCTTATTCTAGAAAATACTTATTCTGATATTCTATGTACTTTGTTGTTAAATCCTTTGTGAATTAAACATTTTCCCTACTCATGCTTCTCCTTGATATGGTAAACAATGCCAGGTCTTCTATAAAACTGACTGAAGTGTCTGCCAGTGATAAGCTGGAGGAATTCCGTTCCTCAAAAGAGGTAATTATTCCTTGGTAAAAGTATGATGAAAAATCATGCTTTTCTCTACCTCTTGTAGGGAGTTGCAGTGATAGCCATTTTACTTTAATGCATTGATGTGTAGAAACAGTTTAGTATCTTTTCCTGAAATATTACCCTCTTGGAAACATATAGAGTTTGTACAATATTCATTGTATTCATGCATGTATCCAACTATGTGTGAGCGGAATACTCATATAAGTAAACTTGTATGATATTAAATTGGATAGAAAATGAAATGATAGAATGGAAACTAACGTGTGTGAGGCCCCGTTCCGTTCAACTTATTTTTTCTTATTTTTTTTTCTTATTAAAATCAGATCAGATCAGATCAGATCGAATCAGATCAGATCAGATCGAATCAGATCAGATCAGATCGAATCAGATCAGATCAGATGCTATCAGATCAGATCAGATCCTATCAGATCAGATCAGATCCAATCAGATCAGATCAGGACTTATCAAAATCAGATCTCATCAAGAATTATTATTATTATTATTATTATTATTATTATTTTTATTATTATTATAATTATTATTATTATTATTATTATAATTATAATTATAATTATTATTATAATTATAATTATAATTATTATTATAATTATAATTATAATTATTATTATAATTATAATTATCATCATCATCATCATCATCATCATCATCATCATCATCATCATCATCATCATCATCATCATCATCATCATCATCATCATCATCATCATT